AAAGAGTGAAAAGCAAGGATTTTTGCAGGTGATATCTTTTTATTGAATCATCTGTATAGTTAGGAGGGATTTATACCAGCTTTCAATTTGAAGTAGCCTTCCTCAGTTCTCTCTAGTTAAAAAAAAAAGTCTAAGGAATAGCAGCGAGTACCTGAGGAATACCCAAAAAGCTTGTCCATATCCCTCCCAACTATACAGTTAATCCAATAAGAGACAACACCCACAAAGATCCTTCCCTCACACATTTTTCCTGGATCACTGGGGCTACAATATCAGCATTACACTAATGCTACCACAATGTGGAGAGAGCACAAGTTGTATTTTAATATGCTTTAGCTGACAGAGATGAACTCTAGAAATGTATTGCTTGCACCAAAGTGAAAAATGCTTGCCAATACATTTTTTTAAATATCCTGTGTCATGGCGTAGAATTGAAATTTATATTTATATTCCCTGCTCCTTATGACAGTAGAGACCACCTTCCAAATGCAAGACCTATGAATAAATTAGTCCAGACCAAGTTAAAACTTTCACTGAAGCTGGGAGCTCACATTAAAATTGCACTGGATGAGTCTTGAAGAGGTTTGTTTCTTTGAGCATACATTTCTTCCCATTGTTGACATGACACATTCATGAAAAGAAAGTATAGACCTCATGGAAGAATGAGTTGTAAGAGTAGTAGTAAGGATATAGTCAACAAATTTATTTCAAGTTTCTTACCTGATAGAAAATCTGCAGATACAGTTCTTCCATAGCTGTGAAAATGAAAACACAAGCTGAATTAAGACTTAAATGCAAAAATGAAGAACAAAGACTATAGATATTGTACAATAATTAGACACATGCTGGAAGATCTGTGCTTCTCCATTAAAATCATCTGCAAGAAAGCTACAGGAGGCAATACTTGTTCATCATTGCTTCCATAATTACATTTCTTCTTGTAATTTCTTTTTTGATGTGTAATAAGGTACCTCAGAACTCAGAAGCTATGATTACATACAGTACCTGTTATTTATAAGGATAATGGACAACCAGCCCCTATATAAAACTATAAAGAAAATTCATTTACCTGTAGCTATCATGTTATTTCGCTATTGTTACTTAGGCATGTATCTTATACAAGAAATAGAAATAAAGGACAACAGTATTTGTTCCAGAGTTGGAAAGAAATGTAATCAAGCTTATAAAGAGCTTAACATAGGAGACAAAAGGTGGAGACAGAAAGACAGGCAGAGGGGAAGATAATTGACAGCATTTTTTACAGATCTAAAACATAACAGTGTTGTGAATGAGGATGTAAAAGTGAAATCAATTGGAAACTGACAGACTGTAAGCAAAAGTGAAACTGACTACAAAGGTTACTTAATAAAAATTTAACAAAATAGGAATCTTTCAGTTTTAATAGACTGCAGTGTTTATATGGATGAAATGGATGGCCTACTACTCAGAGTTTTATAGCTGAACCACACAACAACCAATGGTCTGCAGCTCCCTCCCTTTGTTAGATAATTTATTTTCAATAACTAATTCAAGGAGCTCTAATCAAGACACAGCAGAGAGGCACTGAATAATATAGATATAAGGTATTCTATAACTTGGCAGGTAGGTTCTCTTTCATATGACAAGAAACACTCAAAGTTCCTCTAGGAGAGGAAGTTCCCATAATAAGAGAACAATTATCAGCTATAGACCCTACTCTGGATTGCTACACTGCCTACCTCATTGTCTTTTTTCTTTTCTTTTACAACAGCAATGCCAGATAAGAAAGGGAGGAAATCCAGCCCTTCCATTAAGAGCTATCGCACATGACATGGGTTCAATTACTAGCTCTGCAACATGCTATCTGCATAATGCAGGGTAGGTTATAACCTCCCTATGCCTACATCTCCACATCTGCAAAACAGGGATAATGCTAATTTCCTATGTACAAGAATGACATGAGGCTAAATGAACTAATGCTAGTTAGGCATTTAGACATTATGGCCAGATACAAAAAATACACTTACTGCATGGTAAGTGCACAGAAAGTGTTCTGCAGACATAACTGAACTGACAGTGAGGGCACAGAATGCTGTAAAAATGACGGATCCCACTCTATGATAACACTGGATAGATGCGGTATCAGACTGCAGCAGTGTAAGTTAGAGCACTGTAACAAACATCCCATCACCACATCCCATCATGACTCACATTACATCACATTTAACTGACATGCCATGAAACATTGTGGCACCCTGCTCAACCCCACCTCATAGGGTGGTGATCTAGCCTAGGCCAGAGCTCATCTCTGACCAAACACTGGGCTGGCCCTGCTCCCAGGCTCTCAGTGACCCAAGGCAATGAAGCCCTCATTTCCAACCCTCCCCACCATGCTCCATTCCCTTTAGCCACCTATGAGCCTTGTCTGCTATGATGTCTGCTGAGAGCTATGGGACTCTTTAGCCTCAAAAAGCACAGGCTCAGGGGTGATCTGGTGGCCACCTATAAGTTTATCAGGGGTGCTCATCAGGATATGGGGGAACATCTGTTCACCAGAGCGCCCCAAGGGATGACAAGATCGAATGGTCACAAACTCCTCCGTGACCATTTCAGGCTGGACATAAGGAAGAACTTCTTTACTGCCGAGCCCCCAAGGTTTGGAATAGACTGCCGCCGGAGGTGGTTCAAGCACCTACTTTGAACACCTTCAAGAGACATTTGGATGTTTATCTTGTTGGGATCCTATGACCCCTGCTGACTTCCTGCCCTTTGGGCAGGGGGCTGGACTGGATGATCTTCCGAGGTCCCTTCCAGCCCTAATATCTATGAATCTATGAATTATTGTTCATTGTACAGATCCCATCTACCCTGTCTGGGCATTTGTAAAGATTGAAGTTTTCAATTAAGCGCTGTGTTGTTTGCTGGACACTGCATTCACTATGACACCCAAATGGCATCAGAGCAAGGAGAACATTGCCCTCTCACACCAGAGAGATGGGGTAGCTGCCATTCACCCCCTGCCCCCGGCATGGAGCACATTGGTCCAGGGGACTCATCCCTGGGATGACATGCCAAAGTGTCCCACAGCAGGGGGCCCCAGACAGTGGCAGTGGGGGAACACAATACACTGCACATTGACTGGGAGATGCTGGACTGTGGGGGAGACCCAGAACAGGAGATATGGTACATGGGAGCCTCTGACCTGTGGTCCAAGGAGCCAGGAAGGCATCTGGCGGGGCCCATTCTGGGGAGCAGCATTGGGAGAGGGGAGGGAGAGCAAGCTGCCCTGGTCCTGATGCCAGGGCCAGCATTGACTCAGCCTGCCTTCCAAAACCCTCAGCCCCAGCATAGGCACAGGGCCCCAAAGAGGTTCCAAGGCAGTCCCATAAGGGGATGGGAGCATTCAGACTGCAGTGGCGGGGCCCACCAGCCCACTGGTCCAGGCCACTGTGGGCCCAGGTCCCACTGCAGAGGAGAGGTACAGCCTCTGTAGGATAGGTAGCCCCCTGGGCCCTGGTCCAAGTTTCAGAGCAGGCAACGTTCCACAGTTTCTTTATTATGCACACAAAAAGTTTGGCAGCTGCAACATTTAATTAAACTAAGGGGTATCAGTTTCACATGTGGCATTCCCCCTGCCACCCCAAGGTTGAGCCCGTGTAGCTGCCTACCCTCCTCAACATCATAACTGCCCAGTACAACCAGGGTCCTTCTCTACTCTCTCACTGTTAACTGAGAAGAAGGTTCCAAGTTCCAAACTAGGCAACATTGGACAGTGTTTAATAAACACACTCAAAAGTGTAACATCTCTTTCTTGTGCCACATATCCCTGCCCCCTGGGGGAAGTGGGACAGGGAGAGGGGAAGGGGGACGGTGCCTGGCCAGCCTCGGTTGTGGGCAGCAGTGCCTGAGACACAGGGCCAGAGAAGCTTAGACCAAGAGACCCACAGCTTGGTGCCAGGGAGGGGTCACTTCAGCGGGGGCACTTCCTCTGACCCTCCTCATCCAGGGAGGGCTGAGAAACTGGTACATGTGGGTGAGAAACTAGTCATCCAGGGCTTCATAGATCTGGACAGCCTGCCACTATGTGGGGCCAGAGCCACCAACATCAGTGGAGTGGGGGGGGAGGAATACAGGTGTCTGGGATACATGTATGCACACACACACAACCCAGGCATGTGGGACACACACACAGAATCCAGGTGTCATGACAGCAGGGGGTTGAATGCATGGTGACCCATGCCCAGCAGCCAATCAGGGGTGGCTCAGCCATTCATCTCTGCTTGGGAGTCTTCAGCAGTCTAGGGAGCCCGTGGGGTGCACTTCTGGACTCAGCCTGTGCCGGCACACTTCAAACCCTGCCCCCACAAAAGCCAATGTGTGTGATGCTGCTTCCTGACCTGATCATGGGAGCTTAGAGTAAAGCTTAAAATTTAAAGTACTTCTGCCATCAGCTTCATGAGTGCCAGAAATTAGCCCGTGAGATAAATACCTAGATACCCAGACAGTGTCTTTGTGATGCCATGAGTTAGAGGCTCTAAGTACCCTGGAGGTTTGAGTCCTACCTCCATATATTAGTAAATGTGCTCAATAGCATTAATACTTTCCAGAGACCAAAATTATTTCAAAGGAAGAAAATAATGGTCATCCCCATAATAAAACCTGTAACGCATTACTACATCTATATAACCAGTTCTATGTAGAATAATGCTTAAATACATACCTAGATACTCTAAAATGTGTATATGTCCATAAATATAAAAGTTTAATTGAGTGTAGCAAGGTTGTGGTCCCAGGGATGGCTATGTCCCGCTCCACCCCTAGGACACCTTCCCATCTCGCCTGCCACACCTTGATGGTATAATGATAAATAGGGAGATGGCCCCAATTTCACTGAACCCCACACTGGGGTTCCCCAATACCCTACCACACTGGGCCTCAGGCCCCTCACTGGGCCTTACTCTAACTGTGCTGCCACAGGGCACCTCAAGCCTCAGGGGCTAATTGCATGCTTCCAAATCGTCTCCTACATCATGCCCCTGCCCCTTGTCTGCTCACGCTCTTCTCAAGCACCAAGCCCCTGGCCCCTGGCCACTGTCTCCTCTGTGCCCTCGCAGTCTCTGCCCACTCTCTGGGATCAACAGTAGCTTGAGCCTTGACCCTGCTCCTGGCAGGATTCAAGGTGATAGCTTGCCTCTTGGGCACTAATGAGACCTCCTTATACCGCCCCTAGAGTCCCAACCCAAACTTCCAGTGTAACTATAATGTAAACCCAAGCACCCAGGCTATAACATAAACAACAATAGTAAAAGCAGCCCTCTGTCCTTTTAAGAGAGCAAGCCTTCCTTCACCCCTTGCAATGGCATACCTCCCAGTCTGGGCTCCTTGTGAGCTCCCTGAGCCTCAGTGTTCCTGCAGGCAGCCTATCATCACTGGGCAGGAACTCCTAATCCTGCAGATAGCAGGGCTAAACTACTTTGCCAGCCCAAGCCACAGATTTATATGCTGCCAGGGCCCTGCCTACTTCCAGTCAGCAGGCTGCCTCAGGTGCCTACTAATTGCCTCATTGGTCTGTTGCCTCAGCAACCTGCAGCTGCTGCACCCTGCCCAGCCTGCAGAGATCCCTGGCTGGGCTGCTTTTATCTTAAAAGAACAGGGAGCACCAGGCTTTCTGTTACACTGAGAAATAAAACTAAATCTAGTAAACTCTCTTTGGGTTTTATCAACATTCTATAAAAGACATTTAATTTACTTATTAAAACTACTCACAGAACAGATA